AAAGGGTAAAACAGTAAGATATCTGTTGGATTGCTATTATTACTACACCTATTTTCAGGAATAAAATCGTCTAGTCTAATTGAATTTAATGACCTATTTACAGTCTCCAAATATATGATCTCTACTCTATTCGTCATGAAATTTTAATTTTTTGTTTACTGAGCATAATTGGTTAGATTAGGATAGTGAGTAACAAGCTCTCAAAAGTAAATTCGAATTACTACTATTCACAAATTCTTTATAGTTTAACCTAGGTAGCTTAATTTAAACTTTGTTTCACCTCATTGGTTAGAATAACAACTTGTTTCACATGCAAAAATACAGTTTTCTTGACCTACCTTTGATTTGTGTATGTCGTATTTTTCTTTCTTTTTGTTTCTTTCTTTTCCGAAGTTTTTCAGTATTTTGGCACAAGATCTGGATCCCAATTTTGCATTTTTACTGATAATTACCGAAAAGTCACTGTTCCTTATTTTCCACACTTTTCCACATCCGCTACTACTGCGCCAGTTAAACGATCGGTGCACTTAATCCAGTTTTTAAAAAGAGTCTTAAACTTTAAACTAACTTTTATTGGATAAATACACTTGCAAATTATATCAATAATGATACACTACATGTGCGTTAATTACATGATAATAATTGGAACATTGAATTATAGAACAGCAATACGCCACGCGCGTCAACTGTAATAATAAACGAATAATTAAATTTGAACAAAGTATTTATACGTGGTAAGAAATCACTACGATAAGCTTGTTGCTGTTTGAGACGTTATCCGTGTGAACTTCGTGGGCTAATTTGCTGACCATAGTCTGTTCACATGCATAACTCTCCTTGCTGTCAACTCTGACCAATTTGTGTACACATTTTACTTCAGATTTATAACAGTGTCATCCATAACACTATTTTGCGCAGAGGCACAAAAGAAACCTTTCTCGAAATAGAAACAAAAGATTTTGATTCTGAATGAAACTGTAGGGTTGTTCGAAAAGTCATTTCGTTTTTTCCCGACAGAGGATTTAATTGTATTCTTTTGCACCCAACTTCACATTTAAGCCGTATAATTTTTATATGCTTTGAGAGCTCATATAGCAAGGCTTGTGTGTGAAAAATTCCAATTAATTCTACGCAGTAGTTTTTGGTTGGTG